TCAACATCATCACAGCCACCACAAATGACAGCTCACAACAGCTTTTGTTGCAGGGGAATTACAGCTTATAGAAAAAGAATCCTGCATAATTCTCAATTTCCTTTAAAGGCTACAATCACAGTGCACATCACAAATTTACCCAGTTTACAAACTGCTCACTCCAAATCCTTCCTTTAGTTCCAACAAACACCATTCCTGCTATGTGTGTGACTTTATACGCCCAGTACATCAGCCTCAAGATAAAATCTTTTCAAATACCTTCTCTCTATCACTTTGCCACAAAATAAATACATAGTTGACATTTTTTGTAAATACATTTTTACAAATATTTATACATCTAAAGAACATACTAGAATAAATTTTAAATGTTTTATATACCGATTTTTTTTCAGAAACATCTAGTGGCCTGATCCTGTTCCCTGAAATATTAATATGGTGAACTTCTGCAACAGCACTCTGGCATGTACTCACAGTCACGCATGGACGGTCTCTGACTTAAATCCTTAGTCAGTGTATTACTTTACATATGATTTAAGTACCAGTTAAATATTATTTTCTCTTGGCAGCAATAAATGTTTGGGTGGGGTGAAATAGTGTACTTTAAATATGAAACTTTAAAATGAACTAAAAAAAAAATATTCAAGAAAATTATCAAACATTCACCAGTTAAAAAAGAAGAAGAAAAAATCCTGTAAATATAGAAAAAAAAAACTGTGCATTAAAAGTTACATGTAACAAATCATATAGGCTATCAAATAGATTTGATAAACATGAATAATGTTCTTGAATCATATATATCTAAAAAAATACATGAATATTACAGTCATGATAAAATTTTCCGCAGCCTTTCAAAGAGTAAAGCAAAATGTTATTCCAAGGAATGCTTTTAAATTTCAGAAGCTGCACTTTACAAAAAAAAAATTTTTTGGATTTGTCCTGGGGTTCATTTCAGCACAGTTACAACTTCATGCGTAGGACATATTTGCTATAAGGCATGGTAAATCTCAACTATATCATATCAAGCAAGCCAAACTACATAAGAAATTAGGATATACCAACAAAAGAATACTACCAACCAAACTCTCTTTAGACCCTCAAACTAACTATGAAATCATAAAAAAATACACAGAAAGAATTGGGAGTCCACAAAGAATAAGAAAAATTCACCAAAAGAGAGAACTCTATCTCTAATCAGATAACTAGTATAATAACATTGGTACATTCATTCTCCTAATCTCCTGAAAGAAAGAGAAATGACCAGAAACCATGAGAAATAGTCATAAACTAAGAGAGATAATCTAAAACCATAAGAAATTACCAGATGCCAAAAGGAAATTACTAGAATCCAAGATGGACACTCACTGGACATGGTCACTGCCTACGAGCAAGGGAGAGAGAGGGGGAAAGAGAGGGAAGTGGAGACACAGACCAAAACCTTTCCAGAAGAAGAATCACAATCCCTTTTCCTCTGTCTCTCCTTTTCCTTTTCTCATATCTTCCTATCCTCCTTCTCTAGTCTCCCCTCCCTTTCATCCTCTCACCAAGTTCACATGCCTAAATCCTCTACCGAAAGCGACCTACCTTCAAAGCGACTTCCCTCTGGAGCTTGTAAATCCTCGGCAAACGTCTTGGAAGAGGAGGAAGGAGTGTAAAAGACGAGTGAGTAAGTGAGTCTGGTGAGTCTGTTCTGCTCCAGTGCACCCGAGGATCGCCGCCGCCGCTTCTTCATGCTGCCCTGATTATGACCCCCCGGTTACGCTTCACGGCTCATGGACGACTTATTTCCCTCGTTTTCCCTTATTTCTAGCTTGTGTCCCTTGTTTCCGGGGCGTCCAGGAATTTTGTGCGGGGGAAAAGGAGTAACTGTGTGAGATTCAAGGGATTTTACGTTTGTTTACATCGAGTTTGTTTACTACGAGTCTCCTTGACAGCTGATTGTTCCAACAATTTTCTCGGCAGATGGAATTTTATTTTCGATTATTGCACAACATCGTTAAATTTTGTACAGCTGATTCGTATATCAAAATATAAAAATCAAAATTATATGAGTTTTTATTAAAATTTTGTTGTTAACTATGTGAACAGATTATATTTTGAAAGAATGTAATAAGTTTCTCATGAGTTAAAGTGTAAAGTCAAATGAGAGTCTTAAATCTCCTTATATTTATTTTCTCACTAAATTCAAATAAGAAATAACACTCATTTTGACATCCTTTGAGTAGACCTTGTATGTATGTGAAGTAAAAAATATAATCGTAAGTAATTATTTGATGATTTTATGGGAAGTAAGTGTGTGTGGGTGAAGGAAAACCCTTCATCGTAAAGGCAGTGTTTATCGTGATATCGTCGCGAGTGGACGTACGCGCCCCCCACCGCTCGCCCCCTTCAGTAAAGTGTTTTTGTGGATTTCTCTCCTTATTATCCAAGTCCTTAATATCCAAGAATTGATGCGCGTGCATAGGTCCTAATTAGGCCTATAGCTCTCCTCGGGGGGATAAAAAGGACGGCGCCACGGATAAGACGTGTTAACAAGAACAACACAGATGTTTTTGTAAGTTAGAAAGTTTAGAAAGAAAACCTTCTTATTTCCAGGCCAAGTTTTATTTGTTTTTATTTTTTTGTCGAAAGTGCCGGATGATTCAATAAATTACTTTGCTACTGCCTTTCAACTCCCGGAGGAAGAGGGAAGAGGAGAAATTAATAAAAAGAGGAAGAGAGAAAACCGGGAGAAGGAGAGATAGAACACAAAATATATCCTGAGGAAAGAAAGAAGTCATAAAAATATCCTTAGCGAGCAACGTTTAAGGTAAGACGAATTACATTCATTTAGTTATTATTTTAAATAATATTTTAGAAAGAATAAAAACATTGAGGTAGGCCTATTACCCTTTTGAATGAAAACAGGGTGGGGGGAAGAGGGGAGGAGAGAGAGAGAGAGAGGAAAATCACAACACAAATAGAAGGACAAGGATGCCACTATTTCCGTTAGGGCTGTCGTATTTTTTCTAGATTTTTTCCCGGTAAGGTCTCCCATATTTGCTCATTTAGGAGGAGTTCCTTAGCAACGTCTTCATCGTTTGGGGGTCATGTTATTAGGGGGTGGGGGAGGTCTGGTCGAGTGGCAGGTGGAAAGTCCAAAACAAACAAGGCATTTTACGTGCCTGTGTTTGTGTTGAAGGTCCTCGGCTTCCGGTTTTCCAGAGGGCGGCGTTGAAGAGTGCCTGTAAAAGTAGATTGTGACTGCGAGGGGCGAGGCTGTGCAGGCAAACAGGAGTTCCAGAAGGTTAGAAAGACCGCTCGCAGAGAATGAGTAGCGTGAGTGAGGATGCCAGGGAAAGGGAGAGCGAAAGAAATAAAGACGGAAAGAAGGCGAAGAGAGGGAAAAGAGAGGCAGTACGTGGGTGTACCGGAGTCATGTCATAACATGGAGTAAGAGGTGGGGTGGGGAGGTGGGGTCTGGGACAGGAGGAGGGACATCCCCACCACCCTTGGGGACCCCCGGGTGGCAGGCGCGTGTTGGTAGGCAGTTGTTGTTGTCTCAGTTGATACAGCTGCAATCTGCATGATGGCGAGCGGGGCGTGAGGCTGGATAGCAACTTCTCATTGATTCCGTGGCTGAAGGACGAGAGGTTGTCAATTTTACTGTGTCAGGAGAGAGAGAGAGAGAGAGAGAGAGAGAGAGAGAGAGAGAGAGAGAGAGAGAGAGAGAGGAGAGGGGGGAGAAAGGGAGAGAGGGGGGAAAGGGAGGGATGGATGTGTGTTTAAGAGGAGGGAGTGAATGAATTGTAAACGCCCATACACACACGTGTGATACTGATGTACATGGTATTTTACTTTGTTTAATAAGATTGTTGTTTGTTGTTACTGTATCCTCATTCTTTTCTCCTTAGTGTTCTCTTTCGTCTTCGCTTCCTTTCCCTTTTTTTCTTCCTTGCCTTTATTTTCATAATTTTATTTTTTCTTCATCATTATCATTGTCTTGTCACTCTTTTCCTCCTCCCTCTCCTTTCCATCCTTCTCTTCCCTTCCTCAGTCTCTACCTGTCCTCTTCATTCCCTTCCATCCTCATCCTCCTCTTCTCCCCTGTTTCCTTCCCCATCTCTTTCCCTTCCCTCCTCTTTCCCTTGCCTCCTCTTTCCCTTCCCTCCTCTTTCCTTCTCTCTCTCCCTCTCTCCTCCTCCTCCGCTTCACCCTCCTCCTTTCCCCTTTCTCCCCATTTCCCCCGTCTCTTCCATTCCCTCTCTTCTCCTGCCCCCCTTCCCCTCCTTTTCCTCTTCCTCCTCCTCCTCCTTTTTCCCCTCTCCTCCTCCTCCTCCTTTTCTCCCCCTCCTCCCCTCCCTCCTCCTCCTCCTCTTTTTCTCCCCTTCTTCCTCTTACTTTCTTCCTCCTCCTCCTCCTCCTCCTCCCTCCTCCTTCTCCTCCTCCTTTTCCCTCCTCCTCCTTTTCTCCCCTCCTCCTCCTCCTCCCTCCTCTCCTCCTCCTTTTCTCCCTCCTCTCCTCCTCCTTTTCTCCCCTCCTCTCCCTCTTCCTTCCTCCGACTCCTCCTCCTCCTCCTCCTTTTCTGCCCTCCTCTTCCTCCTCCTTTTCTCCATTCCTTCCACCTTTCCCCTCCCGTCTCCTTTCCCCCTCCCTTCTTCCTCTTCCACTTCCTCTTCTTCTTCCTCCTCCTCCTCGTTTCCCTACGATATGTATGCTGAGAAATAAGTAGGTCGAATGATGGCCGGGTTAGATCTTTTCATGTTGGTAATATTATCGTTGTTGCATTCTTTACTTTGTCGTCATTAATATTTTCATTCTTCATATTCTTTTTGTTAAAAGTATTGTTATCATTACAATCATTATCATTATTGTCAAAATTGTCATCGTCGTCGACGTCATCATTATCACCATCATCAGTCACCATTATCATCAGTCGTCATCATCGTCACCACCACCACCACCAGTCAGTCATCGTTTGTAATCACCATCATCGCCATCATAACATCAGCATTGCCATTATCACCACCACCATTTCGACCACCATGGTGACTGATGCTTTAGAGTGCAGCGGCGGAGAAGGCACCCAGCCCGGGCCGTGTCCCTAGGGCGGGATGCTGCTGCTGCTGCTGCCGCGCCCTCTGGCCTCCTGTGCGTGTGTGTATGTGGAGGGCTTTTGTGTGTGCGCGCGCGTGTGTGTGAGGAGGGTGCTAGGGTATCTGTGGGGAGGAGGGAGGGAATGTGTGTGTTGGGGGGTTGGGGGGGTATCCGTGGGTACGAGTGGGGTGTGTGTGTGTGGTTGTGTGTGTGTGTGTGTGTGTGTGTGTGTGTGTGTGTGTGTGTGTGTGTGTGTGTGTGTGTGTGTGTGTGTGTGTGTGGTTGTGTGTGTGTGGTGTGTGTGTGTTGTGGCGGGGGAGGTTATGGGTTTTTTACATGTGTGTTTGTGTGTCTTTCTTTGGCATTCTCGTGGCTTGGGAGTCCTTCGCCGTGATTGTTCCTTTTGGGAAATGTCTATTGTTAGTTTTTGTGTTGCTTCCGCTGTTGGATATCATCATGGTTTGTGTTATGTTGAAGGCAGACGTTCGTTCCTTCTTTGATGGTGGGTATGGTTAGTATCATGATTGTATTATTTGAGCGTTATGATGATTATCACCACAGCCACAACTACCATTATCCTCATTATTGTATGCCTACGATTGCCATAGATTGAAATGGATTCCCCATTTACTATCAGTACCAATAGAAACTGCACTAACACTCACAATCATTAAAAGCACCAGGGATTGATAAAGTAGACCTATGCTCACGTAATAGTCCAGTCGTATATCCCCCCCCCCTACCACCCCATGTTCTCTTCTTCCGTAGGCCTACCTCAGGAATTTGGCCGCGCCAGGTCGGGGACCCCCCCCCCCACCCTCCCATTCTCCCCCTCTCCCCCATTCTCCCCTCTCCCCCTTTCCCCCTCCCCCCATGTCCAAACGAAGAAGAAAAAAAATCCCACGATTGTCACTCTCTCTCCCCGCTGGGAGGTGTCGCTCTCTGCATTATGTAACATGCAACACACACAAAGCGGCATTCGGTCGTACTGGGGTGGGGGGGGGGTGGAGGTAGGGTGGGAAGGAAAGGAAGGAGGGAGGGAGGGAGGGAGGGAGGGAGGGAGGGAGGGAGGGAGGGAGAGGGGGCGGGCGAGTAGGAAAGGAGGGAGAGGTACATCTCTCTCTCTCTCTCTCTCTCTCTCTCCTCTCTCTCTCTCTCTCTCTTCTCTCTCTCTCTCTCTCTCTCTCTCTCTCTCTCTCTCTCCTCCTCTCTCATTCTCTCTTTCTCTCATTCTCTCTCTCATTCTCTTCTTTCATTCTCTTTCTCTCACCCCTTCTCTAGCTCCCACCCTCCCTCCCTCATTTCCTCAATTCCTTCCTTTCGATCTCCCTCTCCCCTCCCCCTCCCCAATCTTTCTCTTCCTTTTTCTTTAAAGTGGAAGAGGGGGGAGGGGGAGGGGGGTAGTACCGCTCTACCGCGTGGTTGTCCCGACGTTGGGCTTGTCTGCGGGCGAAGGGGGGGGGGGGAGGGGAATGGCGGAGAGGAAAGAGGAATGAATGAATGAATGAATGAATGAATGAATGAATGAATGAATGACTAGGTGGGTGGGGGGGGATGGTTTTGAATGAGAGAATGGACGGATGGGTGGATGGATAGGTGTATGAAGGAATGAACGGGTGAGTGTACGGATGGATGAGTGAGCGAGCGAGTGAATGGATGGATGGAAGAGTGAATGAATGGATGAATGAATGATTGAATGACTAGGTGGTGTGGGGGGATGGTTTTGAATGAGAGAATGGACGGATGGGTGGATGGATAGGTGTATGGAGGAATGAACGGGTGAGTGGACGGATGGATGAGTGAGCGAGCGAGTGAATGGATGGATGGAAGAGTGAATGAATGGAT